ATTTAAAGACACTTAAGTATAATCTTTTTTTTTTTTTTTTTCTCTTCGCTCTAGTCTGATAGATTTGAAAAAGCAGTATACTACTTGGATGCAGTCGTGTCTTTTATTGAGTGTGGGAATGCACTGGAGAAGAGTGTCCAAGAAGCAAAGTCTCCATTTCCTATGTATTCAGAAACCGTGGAACTCATTAAGTATGTATATTGATGTGTGTAGTGACAGCAGATTGTTTTGGCTACTTAGACTGACTTGTAGGTAGCAGAAGTGTTTTTTTTTTTTTTTGACCTTTTCCATCTTGGTTGGGGTAATATGTTCACAGAGATGCCATTCTGTGAGTAAAACATAGGTATAAAGGTTAGAATTGTTTTTCTTTATCGTCCAGTGAGGTTCACAAGCTAGTCTGGGACACGTGTGTTATACTGCTGCCTGCAGTAGCTTTGGACACTGGAAAAACAAAAAGTGTAAACCAGCCTTATATAGTACCCCTCCAATCAGCAGGCTTGGTTTTTTTGTTGTTTTTTTAGCATGCTCATAAGTGTTCTAAGCAAACCTTGTTACAACTGAACCTGCTATTGTAACTTTTCTCCTTAGTGTGCTTGAGTTTCCTATTACTATCTATGACTTAGATTGAGAGCCTCCACAGCCTTCACCTCAAGGGCATGTGACTTAGCTTTACAAGACATTATTCAGCCTTTAATTGATGCTTTGTATTCTACCCGGCAATTAGGGGATCATCCTGCTCTTCTGAGCATTGGGTCTTATAGAGCTGAAGCAGCAAGGACCTTCCCATAACATTCTATTTGTAAAACTGTCCTTAATGAGAACTGGAATAAACCAGTGGAATCATGGGATTCCTCTAATAGTGTAGAGGAGTGCTTTTCCTTTCTAGGGGAATTTGACAAATGGTCCCTACCTACTGTGGTCTATGCAGTCATCCGCCTTAACAAACAATCACCTGCCTGCAGGCTGAACAAAAGAAATGTAACAGATTCCTCTAAGCTTTAAACAGCGTGGAAGGATGAAGCTGTCTTGATGAGCTATTGTATTCTGACTGCCAGCGCCCGCCTTTGTCCAAATAGTGCAACACTGCAGCAGATTGGCTGCACTCACTATTTGGACAACAATTTTCTACCCGACTTATTTAATCTACTTTTGTCGAGCCCAGGTAGTGCCAGCAGAGCCACTGACAGTTTGAAATTCAAGCAGTGTATGGACAGCTTTATTCCTGCACCCCTCTCTACTGTGAGTTCTTTCGCTTTTACTGGGTTTTTACTCCTTATGGTTTAATTTTTTCAAGCCCTATCCTTTTTGTAGGGATTTCCTACTCTACAGGTATTCGTTTCCCATACTTTGGTAAGTTGTACTTTTTAGTATGGTATAAAACACGGTTATCTATAGTACCTTGTATTCTTTTATTCTCCTACAAATGTTCAGTGAAAAGTCTTTGTCCTACATCCTAGCAGTTTCCTGCGACAGAGTGCTAAATGTTACCTTCCTTGGGTACATCACGGCCTATCTCTATCATTCTCTTGAGGCAATCTATAGAATAATATTGAACCCCTTTTTCTAAAGTTACCAATAATATTGCGGGTCTCCTCATATTTAGGACCATCTCTTCCCTCTCCCTGGAAATAATGCTTCTCCAGCCTTCTTTTTCAAAGCAGTCCCTTTTCACCTCCACAGCTAAAAAATTTCTAATTTGCACATCGGGAGTCCTTTTACTGAGTTTGTGACCTTCTTTGCAAGGAAACATTGTTTTCTAATTCTTCTGTACCTCCCTGAAATGTCCACAAATACAACTGCTTATTTCCCTTAGTAGATTGTAGACAAGCAGTCTTATTGGAAGATGATTCCTTAATAAGAGTTTCTCACTTTTTTTTCCTTGGACTTCCTTGGACTCCTTCCCTGTTCTTCAGGGAAGCCTATTGCACCTCATCCTAACCGCTGAACTACCACTTTCCTCAAACAATTTATCCCAACACAGCGGCCACCTCTTGTACCACTTGCCCTCCCTTTTAGATCGTAAGCTCTAATGGGCAGGGCCCTCCTTACCATCTTGACTTGTATTATAACTGTAATGTCTTCCTTATATTGTAAAGTGCTGGTCAAACTGTTGGTGCTATATAAATTCTGTATAAAATTAATAATAATAATTCAGACAGTCAAAAATATATTCCTAGAATAATATTTTATACTCGATCAGGCAGGGCTTGATATAACGGTCATGTTTCTCAAACTGTTTTTGGAAAAATAGCATGAATTCCTTCTCATTATTTGGTTATTTTTATTTGCCTATTGGTGTTACAATTTAACTTCATCCCTGACTACTGTATTCACTCCTGAATACTATAAGTGTTTATCACTCCACTCTCTCTTTTCATTGATTGTGGTTCCTATTCAATTATTGCTCTCTATATTTTAATTTCTATTTAAAGGAGAACTATGAGGTGAGTGCTTTCCACTCACCTCATAGTTCTAGCCGACCTGTGACAATGAGACTGTCACAGGTCGGCTCGGTAGATCGGGAGGTGAGCGAACATATACCGGCGTCCGCTCACCTCTCAATCCTGTCACAGCTCTCTGCCCATAGTTTTCCTTTAATGAGCCCTATCCATATACAGTATGTATGTATGTATGTATGTATATCCATTCATACCTCTGTTTGAAATTACTCCCTGTCTAGGAACATCACTCATATTCAACCTCTCTTGTCCTAATGTTAAAGATACCTTATCTAAGCTTCCGGCTGTTATCTAGTTGGTTTGTTTTCATGGACATAGCTCGTCCGTCCTATCTTCTTTTCCCTGAAGTCCAGGGTTTGGTATAGTAGGCTTAGGTCTTCACACCAATATTTTTTTTGACCCACATAACTGATGGTCTAAGTTGATTTCCTTTTGGGTTTGTATTTTCTACCTGTATTTCCCTAAGGTGGATGATCGGTTGTCCTCCACTTATTTGGTCTAGGCTCGTTTCACCTTGAACTACTGGTTTTGGAATCTCTGGTTACAGAATTTAACTCCTGATCTGAAATACTAGGATGATCTTACATTTCTCCCCTTGACAATGTCATCCTCCTTATTTGATTGTTTTTCATCAAGCCTCTATTAGGAATTGATTTTACGTGTCTCCCCTTGACAATTTCCTGCTCCATATTTCATAGTTTTGTTATGTATAGAGCTTCCATTCAGGCGTCTTGTAAAATTTCACATCCGTTGCTTTTTTTAGTGGCTTTGCACATCCCTTAGGTAGACTGCTTTTGGACATCATAGACTATGTCAGAATAGTGACATAGAATAGTCTATGTCATAGACTATTTGAAAAATCCTGTGTCCCTCAATGGACAATAAAAAAAAAAGAATGTTGTACTCACTGTAAATCTCTTCCTTGGTGTCAATTAAGGGACACATATCCCGCCCCCTTTTTTTGGCCTAATTTTCTGCTTGTTCACAAACCTGTTTTGTGGTTGGATGCAGGGTTATACATGGGCTGGCTTAAAGTAAAACTGACATGTTAGGGATCAGGGGTAGGCAACATTAGGCATTCCAGCTGTGGTGGAACTACAAATACCATTCTGCGGCTGCCTCTTGGAGTCACTTCTGTGGATATGAGTGTTGCAATGCCTCTTGGGAGTTCTAGTTCCACAACAGCTGGAGTGCCAAAGGTTGCTTTTCCCTTCATAGACTACCTACAATCTTGTGTCCCTCAGACTCCATGAAAGACATTTTTCAGTAAGTACAAAAATCCAATTTCAGTTTAATTATATATTGCAGATAAAGACCATGTATTAATAAATCCTTTGTCTTATGATAATTATCAATCCAAGCCTTGTTTAAACTTCAATTAAATTGTTTTCCTTTTATATATTTCATTTTAAAATGTTATTTTTCTGTGTTATACGGATTATAATGATTCATTTTATTAATTGGTGGGATTTATCATTCCATTATTCAAATGGTGGAAATCTAGCCTGCGTTCTATTGCTATCTGTTTAGTACTTGTAGCAAAAGTTATTGATGTATAAAATATCTATATATACACACACCCACCTATATATTACTAAGAATTCTTATAAAAAGCACACAGGTGATTTACCAGTATTATCAGTAACACAGGTGATTACCTTTTCAGGTATACTATGAAGCTGAAGAGTTATTCTGCTCCAGATGCTACTGCGGCTGATAAAAGGCTTGGTGTTCTTTGGTGAGTGCAACTTATAAGCTCTTTCATAGTGACACCAGCTATTAATTTAGCACATTTACTCAACAAGTGCAGGTTACATTTCCTGGTGGTATGCTCATATGCATATAATTTAGGCATGAATCATCATGTAGTCAAGAATGCTGTTATTTCTCTTCCTTCAAGACCCGGAGTCCAAATAATACATTGCCTTCTCCAAAGTGATGCCCTTCACGCACAATGTATACACTTTTTAAAACTGCATTTTGTTTAAACTTTCTATGCATTTTGTTTAAACTATCCTGGCTGCACCATAAGGTGAAATGGGGCATTGGGGAAACATAGCAGCTGTAGTCATTCATGTGTAGTTGGCCACCTACTGCCACGTACCAACAGTGGATACAACATAAACTTACTCAAATAAATCTACTTACCATTATTTACAGACAAAAGGTAGTTAAAAGTACAATTCTGTTGAAAATGTATTTTAGTGTGGTTTGTGTTGCCATTATCCTAGCAGTCACAAAGGATATCCAACATCTATCTTATTCTATATTTATTTACTCATTTATAATTTAGGTCTTGCTAGGTATTGTTTTATGGGACCATGCAAACATGGACCAATTCTCATTATGAAAATGACGAATATGAGCATCATTAATGCTAATAAGACAGCATAGGCGTTTCTATATGCAATGTGCCTGACGCATGGTTTGTGTATTCCCCTTAAAGACTATTTCCTGTTCTAACTTGGAGCAAAACATGGGTTGTTCTGGTTGAGTCACTACAAGAACACAATTGAACACCTCTGTAACCAGTCTTTTGCTTTTATCCTTCAGAAAAAAAGAATTGTCTGTCTGTTAATATCTGACATTTTTTTAAAAACCTTTTTTTGTTGTGTGCCCCTACAGTCTCAGGTGCCAGTCTCTTCTGTACTTGAGGTTGTTTAAACTGAAGAAGGAGAGTGCATTGAAGTATTCCAAAACATTAACTGAGCATTTGAAAGTAAGTGAAATGTGTTGGGTTTTTAGCAGTATGTAAATGCTTCCTTTTCTGGTGCTTAGACAATATTATGTTCAATGACTACCTTTTATGTAACAAGGCATCAGGGTTTGACAGTAAAGGGAGTTGTGTGTTTGAAACACTGAATGCAACACATAATCCATACCTCCCTTAGCCTTTTCAGGCCACAAATAGTTAAGTACATGTGTAGGGAAATTACATATGATCATTGCTCATCACCACATCACCTGTCATTTTGTACCAATATCAGCCATTTTAGAGTTAGTGTCCCCCGACTAAATCTAACCAACCCTCCACGGATTGCGTATTTACCTTCTTCTGACGGCCACACCTTAACTGTATACATCCATCACTGCAAGTCTTAACTATCCTGGCTGCACTTGTACATTACAGTCCCATATGAGCCATCTCTTGACTGTCTTGGGACAGAACCTCCTAGAAGTTTGTGGGGCAGTGCTACAAAGGAGTGGCCAAGGGAGTCATGATCAGTGGCGCTGGATATAAACAAATTGTAGAGCCGCAGCTAATGGATCAAAGTAAGCATCTGTTTATAGAGGTGGAGGCTAGGTTAGGTCAGGAGAATGGGGTAAAAAGGATAAGTGCACTGTGTTTTAAAGTTCACTTATCCTTAAATACTCTTCTCACATACTCAATTCTTGTCTGTAAATCTTGTATTTCACACTTTTCTGCCACACCTCTGAGAGTTAATTTTAGTGACTTCTGGTTCAGCCTCCTTAGTCAGCTCTTTGCTTATTGGATAGAGTTATGATTCCAATTCACTGCTTAGTGTCTGAAAATCAGATACTTTGCAACAGAGCTACACATCAGTGGTATCACTGTGATGCAAACCTTTTATTGACTGCAATTTAATTCTCATCCATTGAGTGTCACAGGATGTCATATATTTTTGGGTTATCTTGCCGACTACAGAAGTATTGGACACTGACGAACAAAAAAAACAATTTGCAGGCCAGATCAGGATAACCCCTCCTACTACCAGCATGCCTCCATTTTTTTTCCACTAGTGTCCTAGGAGGAAGGAAAATTTCTTCTCGGCTCTGCTGGAAAAAGTCTTAACTTATTTGTTTAGCCAGCATTTTTGCGGAGTTGCTGCTAGAGCTGGCCTCTACAATTGCTGCTCTCTGGAGCGACCTTTCCTCAGTGTAACATTGGAGTGCCATATCTGGACCTTACTGGACTGGATGTTACAGGGCTAGCCTGGAAGTGACCTTTAAGCACTGGGTTCCATGTTAGGTGCTTTTGAGGGACCCATTCTGGTATTTGGCTACATAGGGCTTTACAGATGCAGTGCTGTTGGAAGTGCCACTTCCTGTAGTCAACATCAAGAAAGCATCTCCCCCTGCTCCTGTTTTCAAAGTGCCACATAGCACTCTGGGCTCTTCCTACTGCCTGTCTACAGTGACTTTGGTCACCTCTGGCTATGTAGCCCTCAACGACTGCCAGTTGTCTAGGATTTCAGAGTACCTGAGGCCCTGCCTCAAATGCTGCATTTAGTTGCATCACAGCTGTGCGATCGCAACAGGTCTATATCTTGATACAGACGGGACTGTCCTGCTGCAATGGGTGGCCCCACCTCACACACTCCTAATTGCTCTGTGCCTTCTGAAAGTACTTATTGCAATCTGGCATGCTGTCATTAGTCTTCCTTATCACCACCGGGTCAGGCCAAGTCTTTTACCTTTCCACAACTACTCCACTACAGTCACACAAGACATTGTGGCCAAATTCACACAGTTATGTACTGGTGCTGAGTGCAGAGGATCTATGCATGCTCCTGCATCTTTTTTGCAAAGTAGATTAATGATCTGCCCACAGCTTTAGAGTGCTCTGGTTTAAGTTCTGGGATGTGGACATTCTGTGCAAGGATTGTTTGGTCTTTGGTGGGTGTGATGGCTCTTAAGACCTACCCTTGATGTTATCAAGGATATCACTGGATGACAGAGTGTTCAACTGCCACAGTGTAAGAAATCTTTCTTTTCCTTCACCTACTCCTAAAGGCATGACTAGGTCCCTTAAGCCTTGTTTTTTTTACCATGGTCTGAGATGATAAACCTGCTAAACTCTAAGGGAAGCTTTCAGTACGAAGGTGCACCCACTCTTTTCCAAATGGAGTAATGTTTGTTAATCCTTCATCCTTACCCCGTGCACCCTGGGTGTTCTCTACCCTCTCTCCGTCTTCAGGTGTGCTGGCTTCAGTGTTTGCCTTAGTGCCTTCTCATGGCATCCCCATTGTGGGACATTTGGACAACCTCCGGTGGAGAAAACAGTCGCTGTAGGCCCTAATTGACAACATCTTGCTGATGGTCTAAATGCCTCCCAAGATTCACCATGGGTCTTGTTTAATCAGGAATCCGCATTTGAGACCTTTTCTCATCTGCAAACAGTTTAAGCCAGTATGGTTCTTCAATAGAAGGGTCTGCAGCATTTTTTCTCTTGTGTCCCTTTTCTTTGGTCAGGGAGTTACCCACCTCTTTACTGTTGCAGGAGATTTGTGTGTCAAGGGGTCACCCTGTGAGGCACCTCCTCATCTCCAGCCCTTTCTCAGGCTACCTCAGTTCCCCTCCCAGCTGCTGTTGTGGATCAGGTTCTAAAGTAGACTACATTGTCTGATTCTAAGGCTTAAGTAGTTCATGGCCTGATGATTCTGAAAGCCTTACAGTTCTAGTGCTGGCAAGGACTTCTCTTCCCACCTTCGAGAAAATCCTGTCGTTGGAGAACACATTTCCTGGGCAACCTTCTGAAATTCCAGGGCAGATCGTACCTTCTACATTGCTAGATAATTCCCGGGTCAGGGAAATCATTCTCTTGATAGACACCTTTGGACGTCTGAGTACTGGCCAACCTGTATCATAAAAGAGAAACGAGTGGTTCATGTGACAAAATAGCTAGGATCCTAACTTAGACCTAATCTTTGTTCTAGTCCTGTCTGATCTTTACTCTTCAAGTGCAATTTTCTGGAGGCCTGTTTTTCCCAGTTGATTACTTCTAGACATGGAGGAGCAATCCACGCACCAAGGTGCATTTCAGATCCTGTGCTGTAGGTGGAGCATGTCAGAGGAGAGCCACATAATACCTCAGTGTATCTGCTGACGCAGGAATCCTCTGACATTGGCAAGGAATGCTTTGATGACTCTGTTGGATCTTACCTGGGTCTAGGCCTTCCCTTCCTAGTGGTTTTGCAGACTACTGAAGAAAGCCTTTCTGACAAGTTCTCATATAGTGCTTTCACCAGGGTCGCCTTGTTGTTCCTACAGATAGGTGGGAGTTGAGCTTGGTTATTGCTTCTATCGGATTTTAGGTCCTCCTTTCAACATTTGGCGATTATAAACCTTTTATCCTCTGCCTAATTCTTGTATGGGTAGCTCTCATGTGCCTTACCCTGTTGGCGTGATGACCTAATGGGATCGAACCTTTGTTCTCTAAGGTGGTTCAGGAGTGTATATCTCCCTGGAGATAATTCTGACCAGGTCATCCTCAGTTTTCTTCCTTGGATAGTACTAGCCCTAGCAAGGTGGTAGGTGTGTTGATACCAAATACCGTACTCGGTACATGTACATGTACATTTCCAGCTCCAAGACCAGAGAAAGAATTCTAAAATTAGGAGGCAGCTGTCATTTGTAAGGAGCACACGGAGCTCCTGGGATTTGTGCATCCCTGTTTTTAATGTATGATTTTTAATACAATTTTTTCAAGTACAGGTGCTGATACAGGTCCAAGTACGCACAGATACAAGTACTGATGCATTTTTGTTTGTTATGTGACAGTTTTTCTAAAACAATACAAACTAATGATTTCAGGACAGTGGTGGAGCACCAGAGTGAGGTATAGATGCAACAGCCTGCAACCCTGGTAGTCCTTGTGAAAATGCCAAGTGTCGGCACTGATATCTAAATATCCCTAATATCTACCCTGGCAGTCTTCCCAGACATGCACCCCTTTTCTTTTTTGGATCATATGAGTTGACTCTTGCGGTCTTTTCTAATCTAGGGTGGCTCTGGTCTCCCCTTACAAGGTCATAATTCTCAGTTTCTTTTGTCAGGTCTTGGAAAGGAGTTCCTTCTCCTTTTGGAGCACGCTTATGGCTCTGAATCCTTCTCTGTTGGAAAATTGTTTTTCCATCTGCCCTTCTGGTGGATAAGGTCAACCTGTTCCTATGGTTTATGACTCAGGGTTTCCCTACCCTGTTCTTCCTCACTAGTTGTAAGTATTCTCTTGGTTTTCTGTCATCAGGCTTATTTCCCACACTAAATAACAACCTGGTCTTGTCCCTTTCTTACCAGAGGGGGCTGTTCGGCCACTTCCAGTGCCAGCTTCGGGCATTGGTTGTTCAGGCAGCTCTTGATCTGCATGCAGTCCCCAGTTCTCTTAGTCACATTGGATTGGACCTGCTAAGGGTTGTTTGCTGTTTCCCACCCTTTTGGACTTTCAGAAAGTTTGATGACTTTTGTCCCTCAAAGGATGTGAAAGAATACAAAATAGAATTTATGTACTCATTATCCTTTTCTTGGAGTCCATTGAGGGACACAGGTCTCACCCCTCATTGTTTGTGTTTTATGCTTTTGGTACCGCTTGCTAGGAAATGAGACATGCTAATGGTAGGAGGGGTTATCCTGGGCTGGCCTACAGATATTTTTTTATTTGTTTGCCATTCTTCAGTCCTCCTGTAGGTGGTAGTATAACACAAAAGTATGATTTCCTGTGTTCCTCAATATACTCCAACAAAAGGATTTTATGGTGAGTACAAAAAATTCTATTATAGCAACATCTGTGCCACGTCTCACTTTCTGTAACACAAAATGTACTGTGTAGGCTTTGCAAATACCTCCAATGTCCAGGAACGTTTTACATTTATATCTTTGTTATTGTTACTTTCTCTTTTTACAGAACTCTTACAGTAATTCACAAGCCCCATCACCTGGTTTGGGAAGGTAAGAAGTCCTTTGGTTTGAATATTTAGGCATTTTTTGCCAGTTTTGTTCTGAGGGGAGGTTGGAAATAGTATTTCCTTTTGACAGATAATAGAAACGTGCATGTGGGTCACATCTGTTTTATGTAATCTGAAAAATCACTGCAGAATGCTTTTCAGAATAATGTTTTGTTTTTTTCTTTGGAGTTTCTCTGACCACAACAATGTGAGTCTATGGCCTCATTCACACAGTGTTTGGTTGGGCCGTACACGTCCATGCAGCGTGAATGCCCGCATCAGGCCGTTCCCGGGAGGTACAGGAGCTGCGTGCAGCAGCCTGTTCTTCCCTATGGGATGATGCAACCGTACGCCATCATTCGGACACCCGAACTGCACTTTTGTCCGGGTCCAGGGTGTGCATACTCTGTTGCAGACAGGACCCATCCTGTCTGCGTCCAAGTACGAACACCCAGACCTGCATGGATGTGCTTGATCGGGTGTGGGGTACGGACGCGTTCTCCCATAGAGAAGAACAGGCTGCTGCACGCAGCACCTGTCCCTCCCGGAAACGGCTCGATACCACCTCACTGGATTTTATGCTATTTATTTTCCTCTTTTAATGATTCTTATGTTTTTGCATGAGTTTAATATAAAAAAATATCTTTTGGCTTCTTTTATTTAGCAAGTCTGTAAGTATGCCTTCGCCAGTGTCCCCAAAGCTGTCACCTGGCAACTCCAACAGCTATACCTCCAGTGTGTCCAGTTCCTCAGGTGGTTCATCGTCCGTAACTATTCCACACAGGATACATCAGATGGCAGCCAGCTACGTTCAAGTCACATCCAACTTCCTTTTTGCCACTGAAATTTGGGACCAGGCAGAACAGCTCTGTAAAGAGCAAAGTGGTAGGTTTCCAGTGTAAACTATTATTTTGTAAACCTATATTACTCATATTGGTTCTCATTTTGCAATATTTCAGTAGCTAGGGTGTTTGTAGTGGTGAATGCCAGTGCTATAATAAAGTGGGGAGAGAGAGTGCAGTAAACTGGGCTAAAAGCTACCCGTAACAATCAGGATTTCTTTTACTTGGTCAGAGCAGTACAAAATATATTTTATTTGGTTGATATAGGTACTGCATTTTGCATTTAGAGCATTGCTCTTTGGAATTGTTCTGTTGTATTAGATAACGGCTCTGGTCAAGAGATAAACATGGAGAGAAAAACTTTGTCTGCGGTTGATTCAGAATGTGACCTCCAGCTAACAAAAAGCACAGTGAGGAAATGGGGGGGGG